GCCCGTGACGAGCTTCGCTCTGACGCAGGCGCCATCGCGCCACCTCCCGCCTCTCTGGGAACGGGCGAGAGGGCGTGAGGAGAGAAGACGGGGTGGCCGTGGGGCTTCCGAGTCAGTCACGGTCGGGACGGGCTGGTGTGGTGCCAGCTGGGGCGGTTGACGCCCCCACCTCCCGGGCTGCAGGGCCGTCCTGGCCTGGGTTTGACATGGGCGCCCCAGCGGACAGCCGGGACCCCAGCGTCTGGGCCAGCCCTTCGGGGGCTTCTCTCTGACTTCTCTGCACGCCTGTGCGTGTGGGCAGCAGACACACCTGGGCACTCTGCAGGGCTGGGCCCTGGGACACGCACACACACACGCGTACGCACACGCACACGCACCCCCCATGGTCCTGCTCCAGGCTCTGTCCCCTCGGGACTCACCCCCACAACAGCACCTCTCCAGCTGCTCCCATGCTCACACTCTCACACACTCACACTCTCATAGTCCCACCCACACACAGTCACACTCACATATGCACCCTCACACACAGATACAGTCACACACATACTCTCACTCACAATATCAATCACACTCACCCACAGTCACACACACTTGCTCTCACACACACAAACACAGTCACACTCGCACAGTCACACACTCACACTCCTCTGATACGCTGCCAGACATATACTCTCAGTCTCTCTCATTCAGACACACACTCGTGTACACACACACACACACACACACACCTCTGCTCACCCTCTCAGTTACACTTACGCACTCTTCCTCACACACACTCACACATTCTGACTAATGCACACTATCACAACATTGTAGCTCTCGCAGTCACACAGCTCATGCTCACACACACACTCACACACCATTCACATATTCACACAATCCCCTTCCCACACACTCTCAGTCATGCTAACACACGCTGCACATTCATTGCACACACATTCTCACGTGCCCACAAGTGCTCGCACTCGATCTCCCAGCCCACAGTTGTGTGTCAGAGCTGGAGCCTGGGCACGTCCTTTCTGGGAGTTTGTGTTGGTCCACACGGTGAAGCCCGGCCCAGGGAGAGGCAGCTGGTCGGGCTGCAGGGCAGAGACTCGGCTGTCCTGGCGGACTGGCCCCGGCTCGCCTCGGCCCCGTGTGAACAGAGCGGGTGGTGGCAGGGCCCACCGGAACTGCAAGCTCGTGGCAAGGTGGGCTCTGTGGTGTGGCTGCCACTCCCTGTGGCCGGGGGTGGAGAGACGTCCCCCGCCCGTCCCCCACAGGCTGTCCCCATGGCCCTGTCTGGCCCTGTCCCTCTTGCAGGGGCAAGCGTAGTCCCTGGGATGGCCACAGACCGCAGGTCGCACCGGGAAGTTGTCTCGGGAGCCTCCTGGCTCTGAGGAGGGGCAGTGCATGAGGGCCCTGGGGGGGGCCGCAGGTTGGCGGGTCTCACCCGAGTCCACTGTCTCCAGGCCAGATGTGTCGGGGTCTCACCTGAGGTGTGTCAGGGTCTCACCTGGGGCATGTTGGGGTCTCACCTAGGGCGTGTTGAGGTCTCACCTGGGGCATGTCGGGGTCTCACCTGAATTGTGTTGGGGTCTCATCTGAGGCATGTCAGGGTCTCACCCGGAACTTGTTGGGCTCTCACCTGGAGCATGTCGGGGTCTCTCCTGGGCCATGTCAGGGTCTCACGTGGGGCATGTCGAGGTTTCACCTGGGGCATGTTGGGGTCTCACCTAGGGCGTGTTGAGGTCTCACCTGGGGCATGTCGGGGTCTCTCCTGGGGCATGTCGGGGTCTCACCTGGGGCATGTCGGGGTCTCACCTGAATTGCGTTGGGGTCTCATCTGAGGCATGTCAGGGTCTCACCCGGAACTTGTTGGGCTCTCACCTGGAGCATGTCGGGGTCTCTCCTGGGCCATGTCAGGGTCTCACGTGGGGCATGTCGAGGTTTCACCTGGGGCATGTCGGGGTCTCACCTAGGGCGTGTTGAGGTCTCACCTGGGGCATGTCGGGGTCTCTCCTGGGGCATGTCGGGGTCTCACCTGGGGCATGTCGGGGTCTCACCTGAATTGCGTTGGGGTCTCATCTGAGGCATGTAAGGGTCTCACCCGGAACTTGTTGGGCTCTCACCTGGGGCATGTCAGGGTCTCATCTGAAGCGTGTTGGGGTCTCACCTGGGGCGTGTTGGAGTCTTGCTTAAAGCTTGTTGGGGTCTCTCCTGGGGTGTGTCGGTGTCTCACTGAGGCCTGCCGGCTCTCCAAGCTCATGTTGGGAGGGTCCAGCCCCCTGACAAGGGCACAGTGCTGATGTCCCGTCCAGCCCCTGACCACAGGTGTCACCTGTGTGGTTGTGGTCGGCCCACGCCACGTGAGCGTGTCCCAGAGCAGCTGCAGAGAGGATGGGAGAGCCCGTGGCTGGTGGCAGCTGGCCCTGCACACAACCGGGCTGGGGGCAGGATCGACTGGGGCGTGTGCTGGGGATTACCAGGGGACCCTGCACTGCCCTTGACATGGTGACGCAGCCACAGTGGCCCCAGGTCCTGGACGCCGTCCCCAAAGGCGCTGCCCTCCTGGGCTGTGCAGGCAGGAGACACGTCTGGGTGATGTGGCCACACCCCCCAAGACATGGGAGTGACTGGACCCCTGTCTCTGCCTGGGTGGGGGCCTAGTTGCAGACGCTGAGTGGTAGCTTCCATGTCCAGAACTTTCTCTGCTGTTGGTGGGGAGAAGCGGGAGGGCACCCTGAAAATTCAGTGTCCACTTAGTTCAGGTCCCAGACAAGGACCCCGTTAAGACAGTATATGCAGAGTATGTTTCGTCGGTCTAAAAGGCAGAGACTGCTTGTCCCACTCTAGTGGAAGGGCTGCCCGGGAGGCTGTGGTGAACCCACCCACCCGTGGCTCACACCCCCCGTGGCTCATGCTCTTTTGTGGTTTTCGCACCCCGAGATTCCTGTTGTTCTGTGGTTCGTGCTCTTCCGTGGTTCACACCCACCGTGGTTCGTGCTCTTCCGTGGTTCACTCTTGTGCGGCTCCCTCTCCCGTGTGGCTCGCTCTCCACGGTGGTTCGCTCTCCCCTGCAGTCCATGCTCTCCTGTGGTTCAGACTCACCCATGGTCCAGGCTTTCCTGTGGTCCTTCAGTGGTTCGTGCTCCCTGTGGTTCTCTCTCCTGTTCGGTTCATGCATCTCTGTGGCTCGCGCTCCCGTGTGGCTGATGCTCTTCTGTGGCTCTTGCCCCCCGTGGTTCATGCTGAGTCTCAGAGATGAGTTCCCAGCTCTTACTCAGCCCCAGCTCGGGAAGTTGCAGATTTCCTCCGGTTTTCGGGGGTCCCATTTCTCTCTCTCTCCCATCCCGGGCTCCAGGGGGCCTGTCAGCTGTTGTCTCTGTGACTTTTTGCCCGACCTGGCGTGTTTCTCTGCTGCCCTCACTCCAGCACACACGGAACTGGAGGAGGCTCCGGGGGCCCAGAAGCCACGGCCACGTGCTTGGGGGATCCTTTGATTCTATCCCCGTTGGGCTGTGCTTTATGGTGTGTGTGTGTATGTGTGTGTGTGTATGTGTGTGTGTGTGTGTGGTTGATCATGACCGTTGAGATGTGTTATATTGTGTGCACAGTTGATTCTGACTTTGGGGCCATGTTTTATATTGTGTGTATGAGTGTATGGTTGATTCTGGCACCATCAGGCTGTTTGATGTCGTGTGTGTGTATAGTTGATTCTGACCCCTTTGGGCTGTGTGTGTGTGTGTGTGTGTATTTGATAGTGTGTGTGTGTGTGTCTTTAGTTGAATCTGGCCCAGTCAGACTATGTATGATAGTGTGTGTGTAGCTGATTCTGACCCCGTTGGGTTTTATTCGTGTGTGTGTGTGTGTGTGTGTGTGTGTGTGTGTGTGCGCGTGCGTGCCTGTGCTGTGTTTGAGCCAATGGGGTCTTTCTCTGTGGGTGTTGGCTCTCATTTTTCCCATGTGCTATCAGGGGCCTTAACCAGGTCCCGTAGGCTGGCTGGGGGTCAGCACCTGTGCCCTGACCGTGGGGTGGGGGTCTCTGAGTTTCTTGGCCGTTCCCTCTGAGGCTGATGCCCACAGGTTCCTACCACTGCCCGCGATGGCCTGGCCCTTCTGTTCCCCTCTGCCAGTCCCCGCATCCTCCCCGGCTGTCCCTGCACCTGTCCCTGCGTCCTCCTCTGGGTCAGTTCAGACTCCCTGGACACAGAGCCCCTCCGAGCAGAGCAGCTCTGGCGGCCACACTGCTCTCGTCGTGTGGCTCTTGCTGTGGGGACGTCGCCGTCGTGGTCAGAGCTGTGTCCTGTCAGCGGGCGTGTCTGAGTCTGTGGAGAGCTCACCGTGATGGAGGTGGCCCAGGCATTGCGGCAGGACTGGGACTCGCCTCTGCATCCTGATGTACACCCTGTCACCCAGGACACTCCACTGGCCGGTGGAGCTCTTGGAGCTCACTGTGAGGAAGTCACCCAGCAAGGGACACCTGTCAACCCCCGCCTCCTGCCTCATTTCTGTAACCCCCAAGACCATACCTGCTGGTCAGCGGGTGACTGGGTGCAGGTCAGTGCTGGAGGCTCGGAGTGGCCGAGAGGAGCCCAGCCTGCTCGGACTTCCCCAGAGTCCAGCTTCATGCTGTCCCTTCCATGGTGTCTGGGGTTGAGGCTGTCTGAAGTCGGTCAGGTGGGCCGGTGGACAGAGATAAGAAGGACGAGCACCTCTGGGTGCTTTGAACCCTCACAGTGTGGGCGCCAACAGCCCCTCAAGGCTGGAGTGAGAAAAGAGGAGAGGACAGGGCTGTGGCCAAGGCTTGGCGCCGTCCAGTGGGGTGGAGAGGACAGGGCTGCGGCCTGGGCCATGACACTGCCCGGAGGGGCTAAAGTGGACGCCCCATGGAGCCCACCTGGGGAGGTCCCTGCTCTTCCTGCTGGCTCTCCCCAGCCCTCGTCCCCTCGTTCCCTCTCTGCTGTCCTGAGTGTGGGGTGGGGAGTGACCCACTCACCTGTGCTCTGCCCCCCCCACAGATGCCCGGACCCGTGAGCTCCTGAAGGACCCAGTGAAGCACCGGGCTGACGGCGGGACCTGGGACCCTGTGCGCCTCGACGAGGTGGTCCTCATGCTTTCAGGCCCAGACAAGACTGGGCTTGGGGGAGCCGCCGGGGGACAGTCTGGGGAGCAGGGGGACGGCGCGGCAGCTGTGCACGGGGCCCACAGCCGGCCAGGTGAGCCGTGGGCGGGACAGGAGGGACGTGGCCACTGTCGGGACCTGCATGCCACGGGGCATTTGCACATGGGGTTGTCCTGTTTGAATCGTGCTTCTAGATGCTTTCTCACAGGCTAAGCCCCGAGTGGCCATGAGGAAGGTCTAGGTTCTCTTGGGGGTCCTGTCCAGGGTGCGACTCCAAGAGAGAAGCTGAGGTGTGCGAAGGCTTCTGGCTGTGCAGGGAGCACCACCCAGATGTCAGGGCGGAGTCTGCAGAGCCCAGACCCCCACTCGAGGGCAGGCAGCCCATGCCCCAGTGCACACACCAAACACGTGTGTACTTACGTGCATGCGTACACATGCCTCTGTGAAAAACAGCACACACAAGTATGGTACACACAACGCACTCACATGTGGGTACACAGAGATATACATGGGTGTACAAATTCACATGCACACTTGAACAGATCACATATGTGCAGACTCACACGTGAGTGCATTCATGTACAGATACGTCTACCTTGCGTGCAAACACTGTGTATTCAGAACTTATGGTATAGTCACACACATACACGTGTGAGCACACACATGTGCACACACACAAAAACACACGTATGCACAGTTGTATGTGCAGATACCTGTACACACAGAAATGTGTATGCAGTGCTCACATGCACACATGCCCGTGCAAGGTTCTGAACATGCACATGGAGATGTACACGGAGCCATGCACACATGGTCACGTGCGTGCATCCATGCAGAGGCAGACCCATGCACACCTGTACGCACAGAGAAGCAGATCTGTGCACATGTACACACACATGTACACATAGAGGCAGACCCGTGCCCATGTGTGTGCGCAAGGTGGACCCCTGCATGTGTGTGCACGTGTGTACACACACAGGCTGACCCGTGCACACATGCCTTCTGAGACATGCTCCCATGGGCATGTCCAGCAGCCCCTCCCCAGGAGGAGGCGAACACGTGCCCTGAGCCCCTCCCGGACCCTCGGCCAGGCGCCCACTGCTGTGCGTAGCAGGGTGTGCACCTCACAGGCTCCGAGAGCACACGCGTGTCTGCTGGGGACAGGCCTGGAGTCCAGTGCCTGCCGGGGAAGGGGTTGCCCGGACACGGCACGTCTGTCCTTGGCAGGGCCAGGAGCCACGGGGTAGCCGGGCTTCTGGGAGTCACCGGATTGTGGGACAGGGACACTGACCCCTGACCCCGTGTCACTGACCCCGCCAAGAGCGCCTGGTGGCCCCTCTCGTGGTCCTGGCACATTCAGCCTTCCTGCGCGTGGGGTACTTCTGGGCAGGCAGCCGGGGGGCCCCCAGCACCCCTGGGTCCTGACGAGGCTCTGTCTCCTGCAGGTCACGGCGGGCCAGGCGGGGGCGCCGAGGCTGACCTGGAGGTAAGGCGACCCCGCGGGCTGGAGTCGCGGGTGGACGGGGTTTCCCTGGAGAGGTGGGTGGGAGCCCTCGCCCGCCTCGACCCCAGCATGAGGCGTGTGTGTCAGAGCATGCACGTCTGTCACGGCCCCACACTCAGGTCGGGGCAGCTCAGGGTCCCCTCTGGCCCCGACTCCACCGCACACTCTCCCTCTCCAGGCGGACGCCCCGAGCAGCTCCCTGGCCGCTGCCCAGCCAGACCTCGGCCCTGGCCTCCGGCCGGGCGCCCCCCGCAGGACAGAGGTGAGGCAGTCGGAGGCCCCGGAGGCTGCCCTGTCCTCCGAGGAGGAGCCTGCGGGGCTGGAGACCGTGAGGAGCCAGACCTACTTCCGAGAGCTGGGGCCCGGCGGGGACCCCGCAGGTGGACGGCACGGCCAGAGCCCGGGGGCAGGGGCCCAGGGACACGCCGGCCCAGACCTGCGGCTGGAGGTCAAGTCGCCCTCAGAGCCGGGCTACGTGGTGACCGACAGAGAGTGAGTGGGCTCCGCCTCGCCCCCTCCCCTCCCCTCCCCCGCCTCTCCCCTCCCCCCACATGTGCTCTTCTCTCGGGGCCCCGGGGCCACACTCTGAGGGTGCGTGTGCCTGCTGCTCCTCGCCCGGCACGCCGGGCCCCGTGCAGGGATCTGGTCACCGCGGCACTGACCGCTGTACCTGGGGGCAGCTCATCTGGGCCGGGTTCGGTGCAGCTCCGCGGTGTGGCCCTGGGGGTGTGCTCCCTGCCGTGTGGCGGGAGCATGTGTGGGCCCGAGGCATGAGAGTGGCCCGAGGCTGGGGCACACGTGTGCAAGGCTGTAGACGTGTGTGGGGCTGGGGCATGCGTGTGTATGTCGGGGTACATGTATGCAAGTGGGGGCGTGTGTAGGGGCTGGGACTGGTGTGTGGGGTGGGGCGTGCCTGTGCAGGACGGGGCATGTGTGTGCGGTGTATGGTGCATGTGGCGGGGGGAGGGGAACCAAGACACGTGTCAGGGCGTGTGTGAGGTGCAGGAACACACACGTGTGTGGACTTCAGCACGCGTGTATGGTGGTGCACCTATGTTTTGCGGGTGGGGCACACGTGGACGTGTGTTCTCACAGGGCGGGCACGCGTGTGTGCAGGGTGGGATACGTGTGCAGGGCAGGGGCACGTGTATGTCGGAGGGCGGGGCAGATGCGTTTGTGGGGCAGGGGCACACGTGTGCGGGGTGGAGCACGTGTGCACGGTGTGGAATACGTGTGTGTGCAGGATGGGATGTAAGTGTGTGGGTGGAGGCTGGAGACCCAGCCCTGCCTGCTGTGGGCCGTCGCTGAGCCGACTGGGGCCCCAGGTGCCCCCACTGACGGGGGCCCGGCTGGATGAAGCCCCCAGGGACGCCGGCCAGCCCCTTGTCCATCCTGACCAGCAGCTGCGAGTGGGGAGGAGGGTCGTGGGTGTCCGTCCGGCCACACTGGACCCCAGCCGGGGTGTCGGCTCCTGAGGAGGCACCGCACACGGCAGCGGGCAGCGGGCAGGACGGAACTCTCTGTGGCCCACGGCCATGGGTCTGTTCCGTGGACTCACCCGGTCTCAGGACACTCGTGGACTCTGAGATCTCAAGGCCTCGGGACTGTTCAGGGCCTCACTTGGGTCTCTGGACTGTTCGGGTGTCTGTCGACCTCGGGACAGCTCTGTGCCCTCTGCTGAACCTGCCTGTTGTCTGGACACCACTCAGGTCTCCGGGTCGCCCGCCTAGCATGGCTGCATCCGCCTGCCAGTGTCCTGCAGTGCTTGCCCGTCAGTGCTCACTGTTTCTGACAGGATCTGTTGCTATGTGGCTCTATGCCCGTGGCCGTGGCCACCTTGCAGAGAGCAGAGGCCCCCAGTGCCGCTGGCAGGAGGAACCCCCTTCTGACTCAGATGCAGGCGGTGTGGCAGCCCGGGGGAGGGGACTTGGCCCCGGGAGTGGCCTCAGCTCCAGCTCTGAAGCCGGGTGGACGCACTCCAGCCCCTGCGGAGCTGACTCCGGGCCCCTGGGCAGTGGGCAGGGTCAGTGGCTCCGCCCTCTGCAGCCCCTGCACCCCACCACAGAGGCCCCCCACGTGTCCCGGGTTGAGGGGGGGAGCAGGGCCCGGGGAGTCCGTCCTGGCTGGTGGGGGGGGCACCCATCCTGGCCTCCCTGCACAGAGGGACGTGACCTGCTGCCCTGGTGTGTCTGTCCGGCCCAGGCTTCCCTTGGCGTCCCCCTGGATCCCATTGCCCCCCCATGTCCCTGCCCAGCCTGCCCCGAGACTCGACTCCCCAAGATGCCCCCTGCCTGCCTCCACTCTGGGTGGCCACGCTGAAGTCAGCCAGGTCACAGGCACGGTGGACACCAGGCCAGCAAGGGCTGCTGGGCACAGGGGCTTGGCCGTGACCGTGACTGTGGCCAGTGGGTCCACAGCAGCCCATGGGGACTCCAGGGCCCCTGTGGGGGCGGGTCCACCGGTGGACACAAGCTATGGACCCTCATGTGGACACCACGCGGCCGGCCGGCCCTCCTGCCTCCGCCCACCTGACGCAGCCGTGGAGTCCCCATGTGTGGCCCCTCACGGTGCCTTTGCCCCGGCCCCCCTCCCCTCCCCGCCTGCCCCCCCACCCTGCCTTCCCACCTGCCCCCTCTCTCCTCCCGCAGTGTCACCTGTGCTGTGTTTGGTCCCAGCAGTGCGTGCTCCCTGGGCCCCCCCGGCCGCGCCCCCTGCGTTCCCCATGACCCCACCACCCCTGTTCTCTCCACAGCCCCCTGAGCCTGGCGCAGGGTGCGGAGCTGGTGGGGGAGCTGGCACGCCTCCTGGACCTGCCTGCTGGCGTCTTCTGGGACATCCGGTGAGTCCGGGACCCGCAGGGCGGGGCCTGTTTGCGTCAGAGCCGCTGCTGTGGGGGACGAGAGTCCCAGGGCGCTGGGGTCGCCTGCATGGCGGCACCCGGTTCCATCGCGAGGACCTTCTGCCAGGAAGGCCGCGCTCGGCCCTGCGGGCTGTCGTGTGAGGCTGGGGGCGCGGGGCTGGGCCTGTGTGTGTGCCCCCCCCCGTGGGCAGCGAGGCAGTGGCCGCACCCTGGCCTGGAGGGGCCCCCTGGGCCTCAGACCCCTGTGCTGGTGCGCTGGGCCCCGGGGTGTGTCCTCTCCTGGGAAGCAGGCGAGGCCGGCATGGGGGCTCGTGTGCAGGGATGCGAGTGGGCGGCCAGGAGGGGGCAACACGGGGCCCGGGCATGGAGGGGCTGCATAGACGCGGGCACAGTCGCCGTCCAGAGGCTGGGAGCACAGGGACAGGGGAGGGGGGAACACACGGGGTGGAGGGGGATGGGGTGGAAGAAGGGGTGGAGGGGGACAGCCATAGATACAGGGGGAGGGGGACGGGGTGGACCCTGCCGTGGGCTCCCTTGGGCACACAGTGTGGATGAGCAGGTGGGACACGTCCTGAACCGCTCAGGATGCCTCTACAAGGGCTGAGCCCAGCCCTGACCTGGGAGACTCCCGGGCCACACCTAGGCACACACTGGGCACACCTGGGACACACTTGGGACGTACCTGGGGTACATACTTGAGCCACACCTGGGCACACACCTGGGCACACACCTGAGCATACACCTGGGACACACCTGGGGCACATCTGGGCACACACCTGGGATACATACTTAAGCCACACTTGGACCACAGCTGGGCACACACCTGAGCACACACCTGGGGCACATACCTAGGCACTCACTAGAGGCATATCTGGAACACACATGGAGCACACTTGGGACACACCTGGACACACATCTGTGGCACACATGGGCATATCTGGGGCACACCTGAGGCGCACCTGGGCACACATTTGAGACATACCTGGGACACACATGGGGCACATCTGGGACACACCTAGGCACACACCTGAGGCACACCTGGGCACACATCTGAGACACACCTGGGACACATATAGGGCACACCTGTTACCTACCTGGGACACACCTGGGACACACCTAGCCACACACCTGAAACACACCTGGGACACACCTAGGCACATACCTGAGGCACCCCTGGGGCACACCTGGGACACAGCTGGGGCGCACCTGAGCCGCACTCCTGAGCCACTCCTGAGGCACGCTCCTGGGCTACCTCCCTGTCCCCCAGCACCGGGAGGGGCGTGGGCCTGCGAGCGGGCAGCTGTGGGCTGAGAAGTAGCTGAGCAAGAGCAGGACCGTGGCGGGGACGGCGGGGCAGTGAGCAGCCTGCAGGGGGGGCGCAGCACAGGGGTGTGGCATGTGGAGGGGGGTGTGGCGGGGATGTGAGGTGGGACATAGTGGGAGCGTGGTGTGGGCTCGGGTGTGAGGACGTGGGGGCATGACCTAGGGACGTGGCCTGGTGTGTGACACAGAGCGTGGCGTCCTCCCTGGGGGCGTGGCGAGGCTCCTGGCCAGCTCTGTGGGTCGGGGCACTGCAGGGGGCCCTCCGGGGCCCATGTCTGTGTGGCGTCTGTGTGTGGGTGGGGGCACACAGGGGCCTTCATGTAGTGGGGACCGAAAGGAGGCAGCGTTGGGGGCCCCTGTGGGCGTCCAGCCCACTCCTGGGAAGGAGGGGCCTGAGGCAGCCGTGGTGGCAGGCCCCAGCAGCAGACAGCTGGGGGGGGGGGGGTGGGCAACAGGCCCCTTTCTGGGCCCGGGCGTCGTGGCCTCCTGCAGGCCTGCTCCAGCCTCTGTGACTCCCGGGGCCCCGGCTGCAGGCCGTGCGGCGGGGGCAAGGCCATGATTCGCCCCTCAATAGCTGTGCGGGGAGGGCCCATAGGGTGTTCGGGTGTGGGGCTGGAGGGTGCCGGGGGGAGGTTTCAGGGAGGACACCGTGCATGTCCCGAGTGTCCCCCAGGGCCCGTGCTGGGGACCTTGGCCACGGCGGTGTGTCCTGTGGCTCTGGAGGGCAGGGCGGACGGAGCTGCCCTTCCCGGCTCTCTGCCTTCTGTGGAGAAGCTAGTTATGCTTAATATGTTTTGTTAATGGTCGTGTAGCTGTCAAGCCGGTGCCATTATTCCTGTTACATCATTAGGGCCCATTAAGGTGGCATTAGCGGCTGATGTCATTATGCTGCGGGCGTGAGCCATGGCGGCCACGAATGATGGATGCGGCTTCTGCCACGGGAGGGGCCCGGATGGGCTGGGGGCTGCCAAGGACCTTGAGGTCCTGGCTTGGTGCAGGCGTGGGTCGGGCCTGCCGCCCTGTCCAGGCCTGTGGGGCTGTGCATGCCAGGTCCTGTGGCCTCGAGCAGAGGTGGCTGTCAGAGACGGGGGCCCCGTGCTGACGTGCAGCTGTCGAGCTGCAGCAGAGTCTGTGCCCAGCCCCCATATCCAGGTGTGCCCGGGGCAGCAGGGCCTCTGTGCTGGGCATGGGGCTGTCAGTGCCAGCCAGTCCCCTCCCATGTGCCCTCCTGTCTCTGACTTGTGGGACAGGGCTGGGCTGGCCACGTGGCCTGCCCCATGGCCCAGATGATTCCAGAGTACTGGGCAACCTGGTGTGGGGGCTTCAGAACAGAGGCCGTGACCTGTCCAGGGCAAATGACCGTGGCTGACTCACAGCGACCAGGGGCAGGGGGTTCCGTGTCCCCACGGGGGCTCAGGTGGCCCTGCAGGTGCTCAGCCAGCCTGGACTTGCTTGGGGTCGACTCGCAATTTGGGCGCAAACTCTCCCTCGGGCTCCGAACTCGCCCTCAGGGTCTAGACTCGCCCTCAGGGTCCAGACTCACCCTCCAGGTGTGGACTCGCTCATGTCTGGAGTCTCCGGGGTCCAGTCCTAGGACCCTCTTGTTCTACCCCCCCCATCACCCTTATCTCCCTAAGGCCAGTGACACGAGAGGCCCTGGGGCTGCACACCCCCCCCGAAGGTGGGGGTCGGGACAGGCCCCTGTTTGGGGAGGGTGCAGGGATACAGGAGGCGTGTCTGCCCCCTCAGGGCTGCCGTGGGGTCAGGGCTGTGGGATTCACCATCGCCCCAGGTCGAATACAGGCAGGAGCACCCGCCAGGGAGCTGAGCGTCCACCCCAGGGCCTCAGTGACGGCCAGGCTGTACCGATGTGTGACCCCGACCCGGACCTCCATGCTGCCTGCAGCTCTGGGCAGCAGGTCAGCAGGGGTCACTCCTGGGTGGGCCCTGGGGCCCTCAGGAGCAGCCGTGCCTGTGGGCTCTGGGCCGCTCCCCTCATGCAGCTCTGCTATCGGGACTCCGCCCCGTGGCCCCCAGCTGCCGTGGCAGGGGTGCGGGGAGCTGGGGAGCTGGGACTCAGGGCTGGGCCTCACAGCTTCCAGCCCTGCCCGCGTCTGCAGGGCCCTGCACCGAGCCCCCGTCTGGCCGCTGAGGATCAGCGTCTCGGATGTGAGAGGTGTGGCGCCTGGGCGGGGGGCCGGTCGCGCCTGCCTGTGAAGCCTTGGCAGCGCCTGCTCGGGGACTCCGACGTGCTCGAGTAGCCCCGCCGTGAGGGTGGAAACGCGGCTCTCGCTTTCCGCTCCGGGGTCCCCACCCCCCTGGGCCAGTCGCCCTGCTTCTCCGACAGGGCCCTTGCCCACCAGTGTCCGCTCGTTGCCTTGGGCGACGGGGCTGCGTGGATTTCCATGGGGCGTGAGTGTGTGCTCGAGGCAAGCTGGCCCATCAGTACGGTCGCGGGGATGTGGCGGCACCCAGACGTCCCACGTGGGCCTGGGGCGTGGCCACGGGGTAGAGCTGGGATGTGGCAGTAGTCACGTGTGGAGCTGGGACGTGGCAGTGGCTGGTCACACGTGGAGTGGGGACATGGCGGTCGGTCACGCATGGAGCTGGGATGTGGCCGTAGGTCACACGTGGACTTGGGATGTGGCAGTGGCAGGTCACATGTGGAGTGGGGACATGGCGGTCGGTCACGCATGGAGCTGGGATGTGGCAGTAGGTCACACGTGGACTTGGGACGTGGCAGTGGCAGGTCACGCGTGGTGTGTCCCTTATGTGGCCGTGCAGCTTTCAGGGAGCAGCGTGGAGGCTGAGCAGGCTCTGAGTTTCCCTTCCACGGTCTCTTCCAGGGTGCAGGGGCCCACGGTGACCTTCAGAGTGAGCCCCGGAGTCCACAACCTGACAGAGGCAGACGTGGCCCAGGCGGCAGGTAAGCTGTTGGTGCAGCCCGTCTCCCGGTAGATGGAGCAAGGCCGGGTGACCTGGGTGAGCCCTCGAGCACCTGCGGCTGGCACGTGTGGTGGGTAGGTGGGACAGAGAGCCCTGTGGACCCACTGTGGTCAGCACCCACGCCGTAGGGTGGGAGAGGCCTCGACTGTCATCCGTAGCCGGCTGTGGGCTAGGGCAGCTCTGGGTTCAGGGACAGCTCGGTCCCCCCGCACTCGGCCTCGTCCCTGGCATCTGTGCTTGTGGCTCTCCACGGTGAGGGTCGTCCTCTGCCTTTTCTCCTCGGCCCCAGTTTCCAGTGCACTGAGAACACACAAGGGCTCAGTCTTGGTATTGAGCCACGGCCCTGGGGACGGGGGCCACGGACACAGCAGGAGTGGTAGGTGCTGGCTGCAGCACACGCACGCATTTTCGGACCGGTGCGCACAGGCCTGGTGGTGTGGGCACCCCGGCGGCCTGCCTGGCCGTGCTCGCCTTTGGGGTGGCACAGGGGATAGGATTTGCAGCCTCGCGTGTGCCGGCTGAGGGTCAGCTACTGAGCATCCTCACATCAGTGTGTAGCACAGGAACGCCGGAGCGAGGGTCCCCACAGCCCCCTCGGCTGAGACCCAGAGCCTCAGGGTGGGTGCTGTGAGGGGCTCGTGGGTGACCGGCCCCTCTTCCTGCGTTCCCATGCGCGGAAGCGGACGTGGGGACTCGAACCTGCTCCAAGTCGTTTCGGACGTGCCTGTGCTGCGGGGCTCTGGGCTCCAACCGGGAGGCACCTCCAGGAAAGTGCGCTCCCTGGACCCCCTGACGGCACCGGCCACCTCCTGCTGGCCGCGGCCCGGCACACACATGGTCACAGCTCTTCCTCCCATGCCCTCCAGTGCTGAGTGTTTCAGATGTGCCTCGTGACGTCTGGGGGTGCCTGAGTGCCTGGCACGCCCATGTGGGGCAGAAGAGCTGCACCCAGGGCCCCTTCGGGGGCGTGTCCCCATGCCAGAGTCGCTGCCCCCTGACGGGAAGGTCACTCAGGTCCAGCTGCTCCTTTGCTCTGATGCTGTGGGTGGGACAGGGACAGATGCAGGACGTGGAGGCCTGTCCTGGCCTCTGTGTGGGAGGAGCCGGCGGTCGCCAAGTGGAGGCGAAACAGGAGAGATGTGACGGGGCCAGTGACCAGAGCGGGGGATCCACGAGCAGCTGGTCAGGGAGGGGCGGGCCACCTCTGCCCTGCTGTCTCTGGGGGTCCACAGCGAAGGGCTCCCAGGACCAGCTTGGCCAGGGCAGTGGCTGGTGGCCTGTCCTCAAGGAACATGCACCGGGCAGGCCGTCTCCTGGGCACTCTCTCTGGAGTGAAAGTGGATGTTGGTGTCCAGTACAGTCCCTGGAGGGCGGTGCCACAGCAAGCGCCCTCTGAGCGGCTCGTGTGCACACAGGATGCCCGTGAGCCGCCCCGCTCCGGCACGTGAAGGTGATCAGTCGCATCCACAGACTCGTCCTGCCCACTTCACGGAGGACAGGATGCTGCCCCCAAAGCCTGGCAAGTCCCGAGGCCTGGCGTGGCCTGGGTGGGGTCCAGGGGCCCGCACGCATGAGCACGTGAGATGAGGTCTAACTCATGGGCGCCTCTGCCTTCTGCTGATCACGTCGAAAGGAAGATGCCTTGAGCAGACACAGCAGGCTCTGCTGCCTCAGGCCAGGGAGGCCACACCAGGTGGGCTCATCAGTGGACACTGCACTGGCCTGTGAGCACCCCCAGGGAGAGTTCGTGCCTGCACCAGGAGCTATGGCTTCTGGGGATCCTCGTACTCAGGAGGGCCCATGTGTGTCACTTCAGCCATTCACATCGTGGGCCTTACTGTAGCCGCTCCTGGAGAACCACAGAACACCATCACCTTCGCCACTGCCACCATTATGTCATCGCTCTGACCAACACCACCAAACTGCCACCACCCCCACAGTCATATTATCACCATCTCCATCATCACCACCACCACCACCACCACCACCATCATATCACCATCACCACCATCACCACCATCCCCAGCACCATCACCATCACCATCACCACCCCACCCCCACCATCACCACCGCCACTATCAACATCACCACCATCACACCACCACCACCATCACCATCACCACCACCTTCACCACTGCCATCACCACTGTCACCTTCGCCAACACCATTATGACCACTGTGTCCCCGTCACTGCCATTATCGTCAGCCCCAGCAGCACCCACTGACACCTCCCCACCCACGCAGCTCTGAGCAGGGTGCAGGTCCTGCTGCATTCTGTAGCTGCAGTGGGAGACGGCGTGAGCACGGAAAGTCGACGAGGCATGGGAGCCACCTGGGGTCTGGCAGCTTCAAAGTCAGTTCCGAGCAGAGAGCCAGGGCGAGGCGGTACCACGGCGCCTGCTGGATGGGGCTCGGGCTGAGCTGGTGTGTGTCCATGCCTGTCCAGTCGTGACTTCCCCTCCTTGGCCTCACAGACCAGGGACTCTGAGTCAGAGACGTGCCGGGCACACGGGAGACTGGCCTTGCAGAGCGGGACCCTGCCTCGCAGGGTGGGTCTCTGCCTGCTCCTTCTGGTTTCTCCCAGGGAAGCTGGCCCACAGACGTCCCCAACACTTTCGATTGATGCCCGTCAGTTTGCACCACTCACCGAGGGAGGACGCCTGCAGTGCCCACTCAGCGGTGCTGACCACGACACTGACGTTTCTTTAAATCAAAACTAGGCGTGCCCTTCTCCGGAGGGAAGTCACCTCCCAGGAAACTGGGCCAGAGGCCACAGCCACTGTGTGACCAGGGTCTGCCCTGAGGTGCCGTCTCCGGCTGACTGGTGTGGTGCTGACCCCTCCCCGGGGGTGACAAGGCCACCAAGCCCGGTATGAGGCCAATCCTCAGCGCCTTGTCGGTTCCTGGCACTGCACGGGGCAGATGAGGGTGCGTCTAACCACCGGTCAGGTGTGGAGCAGGTGTCCACTCCTCTGATGGCGTGAACACGCCTGTAGGCACCGAGTCCTGTGTCAGGGCCTGGGAGTCGGCATGGTTGGCGGGAGGAAGCGTGCAGGGCCCGGGCCTGGCAGCAGCAGAGCTGAGCGGGGCCTGTCACAGCTCTGTGGAGGGAGCAGGAGGCCACCAAGTGGAGGCGAGACGGGAGAGACATTGCTGGGCCGGGCCAGCAGCGGGGGAGCGCCGTCAGCTAGTCAGGGGGAGGGGCGGGCTCCGGGGCTAGGAGGGTCGTTTGGGGCGTGGGCGCCAGTCCGGTAGCTTTCGTGTCCACTGCTGCCTGGTGCCAGGGGCCTGCGCCCCTCACCCACAGACCAGGGGGCAGCTTAGCTGTTGGCACCGTGGGAGTCCCACGCATGTCCTCCCCCTCAGCCCCTCCTCCCTGCTGGAACCCAGGCCAGGGGCCCCGCCAGCCCTGTGGGCAGAAACCAGCTCCCGGCTCCAGAGTGCGTCCAGCTGGCCGGCAGTACGGAGGGTCCAAGCATGGCCGCCCCCCACATGTGCACCGACTCACCACACATGCACCACGTCACACACGCCATGTCACACACATGTGCACACACCATCTCACCACACACCACATATCACATCACGCACATCATGTCACCCACAAGTGCACACCACATCACACACACGTGTCCCACATTACCCACACGCTGTGACACCCACGTGTGCACATACCATGTCTCCCAGACCGTGTCACCCCATACATGTACATTACCCAGACACACCATGCCACACACACATACGTGTGCACCACACACATGCACACTCATGCGTGTCGCCCCTACACATGTCACCAGATGCACACAGCGCATCACCCACACACACCCACACAGCATGTCGCCCCTCACCCGTGCCACGTGGCCCCAGGGCCTGACCTTGACCCTGCACATAGGGACCGTCTGTGAGCAGCGAGTGGCACAGGCAGAACAGCTCCTGGGGCCACGCCAGCGCCGAAGGGATGGCGGGGACAGAGCCGCCATGGGGGGACAGTCTGCAGGCCCCGTGGGAGGCCACGTACGGACCCCGGGGGCTTCAGGGCGCCTGTGGCAGAGCCAGGAAGAGCACGTGAGCGCCCAGGAGACCGGGCCCACCCTGCGCGCCTCGCGGGCCCTCTGCTGCCACCTGTACTGACCCCCGCTGCCGCGAGCCCTTCCCTGACACCCAAAGCCACGGCACTTGGGTGTCACTCACTTCGTCACTAAACCCTTGATTTCTCCAGAACCTTCTGCCTTGCCAGAACCTCCCACGGCACCAGGACCCGCCCCACCTCTGCAGGCACAGCCACACCCAGCGTCCCGGCCGCTGCTCCCCGCCCCCCTCCCCCACTCCCTCCCCCCCCTCCCCTCCCCCTCCCCTGACCCTTCCCCCCTCCCCTGCACCCCCTCTCCTCCGCTCTCCTGCTCCCTCCCCCACTCCCCTCCTCCCCTTGCCCCTCTCCTCCCCCATCCTCTCCTCTCCCCTGCTGCTCCCTCCTCCCTCTGCACTCTGGGGTGCTCCTCCCCCTTCGCTCCTCCCCCTCCCCGCTGCTCCTCTGCCCAGTGCTCTGTAGCAAACCCGCCGCGCCAGCTGCCATGGCCCCAGCCAGGAGCAAGCTGACCCCATGTGGAGGGTGAGGCCCCGAGGGTCCGAGTCGGCCACTGCCCACGGCCCAGCAGCATTTGCTGGGGTCTGAACTCTCTGCCCCTGCCTGTCCCCATCCTGACCCCAGGAACTGACCTCCTGCTGGTGCAGGGGACAGCGGCTGCTCGGGAGCACCGGCTTCTCACGCCTGGAATCTTCCCGACACAGCTGCGGTCAGGAGAGTGATCCGCCCCCCACCCACCCTGTTCGCTCCTCCAGCGACGTGCTCCCAGATGCACGAGCTTGACCGTCTCGCCCCTGCCTTCCACCGCTCAGCCATTCTTTATCCTCCAGGGATGGCTCTGGACATTCTGTGGGCGGTTGGTCTATCAGAGCAGGGAGCTCGGGTCAGTATTCAAA